CACATAGGCGAAGATGATTGTCGGCAGGATGGAGACGTTGCGAAAGGCGTGAACTGGACGCTCGTCCCAAATGGTTCGAGCAACCAGCAAAAGGCAGCTCATCTCACTAGGAGTAGAAACCCATGGACTAATTAGCGACCATATCGGCATAAAACAAGTCATGGAGTATTCAAGTCTTGCAACCGACGATTCAAGCAAAGGCATGTCAACTGAGCAATCACCCATTCAAGCCCAACCTCCTTTTTCTGTGCGGGCTTGAATTGCACCACGCAGACAGAGGGAACAGTTGGGGAAAGACCTGGTCAAATTGCTCTGAAGAAGTGACGGGCAGAATCACACCTGTACTGGAGTGAACTAGTAGTGTACATCACTATACCACTTTATATTACATCATTATCTTCTCTGTTCCTAAATAGTATATCCAGATGATTTGAACTGCTAGAACATCTTATATTTATACTTCGTCCTGAAATAAGTGTCTCAAGTTAGTACAATTTTTTAGTACAAAGTTGAGACATTTATTTTGAAATGGAAGTATTATTTAGGAACAGAGTGCATGATTCGTCCTGGAATTGGGTTCGTTTCAGGTGCACTTGCAGGAAAACGGAATCAAGAAATCATTCGCAAGAGAAATCCCACAGCGCCTGATCACGCCGAATGGTTCTAACCGAAGATGATGATTGTGCTTGTGCAGGGGCATCGCCATGGAGAACGAGAATCCATTCCTTCCAGCCATAGCCATAGAGAATCCGGAATTCAGTGGGCACGGCCTGCCTTTTTTTGTTGTTGCAACACTTGTACTAGCATTTCAGCTAACCAAGTGTACTAGCGAACTTCCTCTGGTGTTTCATCTCAAGAACATGGCACAGTTATGTCAGGAGGGGATAGGTGGCTGGCTTCAGCCTTGATTATTCTGTAACTATTTATGTTTATATAATAAGTATAAAAAATACATAGAACAATTGTTCTACGATTTTCGGCTAAAAAAGAAACGAAAAATCAGGAGGGGAGAAGAGTGGAGCGTAGCCTCAGTAAACAACGGTGGAGTCAGTTGAGTAGTAATCACAAGAAACATGGCCAGTATGTAGTCTAGTAGTAGTAACAGTATGTATGTAATTTACATCTGACACAACCTTATTCTACATAGTGTCTATATTACATAAGCAGATAGACGATGATACAAGGGGAGGAAAGGATCCGTATGTACAAGGACAACACAGACGAGCTTCTGTCGGTGGCCAACAAGCAGGACACCACGAGCAGAAGCGCCGCTCACACTAGTGTACATATGCCACATCAAATACCGTCAAAAATCCTACTACAAGAAGATGAAAGAAAAAGGAGGAAGCACAAGGGCAAAGAAGATCAACACGCGCGCGCTCATACGTACTACTGTACTAGCTCAGCTGCACAACGGCTCGTACCGGGGAGCAGACGGAGGCAGAGCAACCTGGATGGATGGATCGCCGGCTCATCACCAGCCGTAGACGGCGCGGGAGCACTTGACCTTGATCCACTTGACGCTGCGCCGCACCGACCCCTTCACCTTGCCCTCCACGTCGTACACCTTGTAGGCCACCAGCCGCTTCTTCCTCTGCAGCTCCGCGTCCGCGTCATCCGTCTTGGCCGGGGCCGGGGCCGGGGCCTCGTTGTCGACCAATGCGGAGAAGGACGGGGTGTAGCTCCTCAGGTTGAGGGAGCGGCGGCCGGCGGAGGACCAGGTGGCTGCGGTGGTGGTGGCGGCGTTGGGCCCCTTGGCCTGGGCGGCGCCGTCGGAGAAAGGCTTGTAGGAGGCGGCGTAGGAGGCGCTGTAGCACCGGAGGTTCAGCCCCGGGGTGGGGCCGGGGCCGGCGCCGGAGACGGTCCTCGTGCTGCCGCTCCGCTGCACGGCGGTCGCCGCCGCGGGGCGCGACAGGGAGGTGGTGCTCCTGGCGCGCTGCACCTTGGTGGGCGCGTAGGAGACGGCGTAGGAGGCGCTGTGGCAGCGGAGGTCGTTGGCCGGCGCGGCGGCGGCGGCGGTGCTCCTCTCGGCCAGCGACACCGACCTCTCCATTGGCATCTTGTTGCGCGGGTGTGGTCACTCTCTTGTCCGCGGAGCTCTGGCGTGAGGAACTGATGGCTGGCTGGTGGCGCCAAGCAGGCAGATGGAGCCTTTTTATAAAAGTGGGTGTGGGTTCCAAGTGTTGATCGGCTCGGCCAGACATGTTGCACGGAACGGTGCACGCTGCTACAGTATGTACGTATATGGTTTGGATTGTAGCAGGCCGGTTCCTAGCCCAGGGTCGGATTGATAGCTTTCTCTCTCAGTTTCCTAGGGACAGGGACGGCGGCATTCCCCTGCTGGCTGCTGGTAGTGTGAGCTCGGTTCATTCGTTTTCTTGATGTTCTTTTGGCCTAACGCACTACGCCAGGATGAGATTTTTTTGCTTTGCGTGCGTGCGCAGAAATCATTGGGCAGCCCAAGAGAAGCGTGAGATTTTTGCCTTGTCCGCGTGTGCACAGATCATAGGGCGGACGAAAACAACCGTGGGGGTGTAGGGGTTTCTGCAGACGTACCCCTGCTTTTTAATCGAAGCAGTAGGATGGCAGGGAACGGAGAGTTGAAACACAGGGTTTAGGTTTTTGGGTGGGTAGTTGACATTCAGCCTCACATCTTAATATATAGATATGTATATAAATACGTATACAAGAACAATATATTAGACCCTACTTTACATGCCCCCTTAATCTGAACTACATACAAGATTCAGATTGGTTCTAAAATGATCTAGCATCTGTCTAGTAGCGGGTTTAGTAAATACATCCGCTAATTGATCATCTGTAGAAATAAACCCGAATTCCAGTTCACAAGCAGCCACTTATTCTCTCACAAAATAGAAATCAATCTCAATGTGTTTAGTCCGAGCATAAAACACTGGATTCGCCGTCATGTAAGTTGTCCCTAAGTTATCACACCAGAATATAGGGGTGCGTTGCCGTGGGACTCCAAGTTCTGTGAGAACTGAGTCTATCCAAATGGCTTCAGCCGCGCCATTGGCCAATGCCTTATACTCTGCCTCGGTGCTTGACCTCGAGACTGTGGGTTGCTTCTTCGAGCTTCAAGATACAAGATTGGGTCCAACAAATATAGCAAAACCACCAGTAGAGCGCCTATCATCAACACAGCCTGCCCAGTATGCATCGGTGAATATACTCACTCCGGTTAATCCGGACTTACGAATCTGTAGTCCCATGTCTAGCGTACCTTTGACATATCTCAGAATGCGCTTGACTGCTTCCCAATGATCCTCCGTTGGCCGAGACAGGAACTGACACACTTTGTTCAATGCGAAGGAGATATCAGGACGAGTGAGGGTCAAATACTGAAGTGCTCCAACCACACTGCGATACCGAAAGGAGTCATCTCTACCCACTAGTGCACCACTATGACGTGAGAGACTCTCGGATGTAGCAAGCGGAGTGGAAGTGGCCTTGCAGTTCTCCATGTTGACACGATGAAGAAGGTCCAAAGCATACTTTTTCTGCATCAAGGTCATGCCCCCTGAATGAAAGGACGCTTCCAAACCAACAAAGTACTCGAGGCGACCCAAATCTTTGATGGGAAAGCTAGCAAACAACGACTGCACAAGACGATCCACCGCGCGAGGGTAGAGCCAGCAATCACAATATCATCAACGTACACCGGCATGTATATCTGTATAGCACCCTGAGAGAAGATGAACAGAGATGCATCTGATCGGGAGGCAACAAAACCGAGCTGCAAAAGGCGCTGACTCAAACGAGCATACCAGGCACAGGGCGACTGCTTGAGACCATAAATAGACCGCTGAAGTTTGCAGAGATGAGAGGGATACGTGGCATCCTCGAACCCAGGTGGCTGCTGCATATACACATCTTCGGCCAAGAACCCATGTAAAAAAGGCATTGCTCACATCAATCTGTCGGAGGCTCCAACCACGAGACACAACAAAAGACAGAACCAAGCGAACTGTGGCAGGCTTCACCATCGGGCTAAATATATCTCCATAGTCAATCCCATCCTGTTGAGTGAAACCGCGAGCAACATGACGAGCTTTGTGCTTATCAACAGACCCATCCGGATGATGCTTGGTTTTGAAAATCCACTTGCAGCTCACAATATTAACACCAGGTGGCCGAGGCACCAAAACCCAGGTGTTAGTGTGACGAAGAGTAGCAAACTTCTCGGACATGGCGGCACGCCAGGCAGGTTCACCCAGAGCATCACGATGGGAAACCGGCGTGGCGAAGAAGGCACGGCGGCGAGAGTCATACCGATCCGTGCCATCAGTGTAAGACTTCTCCTTGCGCGTATGATCACGATGGCGTGTAACCATAGCATGCGCTGGAGCTGCATCGCCGGTAGGAGAAGATGGCGGCGACGAGGGCTCGGCCAAGGGTGTCGCGACTGAGGAGACCTCAACAAGAGGCGACACGGGCCGAGAGACGACGGTGAGCTGGACCAGCCCAGGCGAATGTGGCGGCCCGGGAGACGCATCGGGCGAGGGTGGCGAACCAGCCGCGCCTGCCTCGGGCGGCGGGACATGCACGTCCTGAGCATGCACATTGGTCTCATCAGGAAGCAGCGGAGTAGCAACATGTACCTGAGGGGAACTGAAAACAATAGCACCTGCAGAGGGCAAGTTACGTGACAAATAGGACAAGTCATATTTACGCACATGGACATCCGGAACCGGTTCATCGGAGGGAAAGGTGAGGGCATGTTCAAGAGAAGCAGGATCAACCGAGACACCGGGTTGGGAGTAAGGAAATACCGTCTCGTCGAAAACAACATCACGAGAGATGTATATCCGACTGAAGGTACGGTCAAGACACTTATAGCCCTTATGCAAAGGACTATAGCCAAGGAAGACACACATCTTGGAACGGAACTCAAGCTTGTGAGCATTGTACTTGCGGAGACTGGGCTAGCAAGCACACCCAAAAATCCGAAGGGAGGAGTAGTTGGGCTGAACATGAAACAAACGGAACAGAGGTGTGTCCTTGTTGAGAACCGGAGTGGGCATACGGTTGATGAGGTAACATGCCGTAAGAAAAGCCTCATCCCAAAATTGAAGTGGAAGAGAGGAGTGCGCAAGCAAGGCAAGGCCAGTCTCAACCAAATGTCAGTGATTGCGCTCGGCAATACCGTTTTGCTGAGAGGTATGTGGACATGACACTCGGTGAGAGATGCCCGTGCGTCGAAAGTAGCGATGGAGTTTGTGGTATTCACCACCCCAGTCGGACTGAACGGCCTTGATTTTATAATCCAGAAGGCGTTCGACATGAGCCTGAAAGTTGTAGAAAACTTACTCAACATCTGACTTGTGTTTAAGCAAATAAATCCAGGTGAAGCGCGTGTATTCATCAATAAAACTAACATAATACGTGTACCCTCCCGACGAAGCAAGAGCGGGACCCCAAACATCTGAATGTATTAATTCAAGAGGTACAGTAGTGATATGAAACGAAGTAGAATAAGGTAGCTGATGACTCTTAGCACACTGACAGGCATCACAAACTAATGATGAGTTATTTGAACTAGAACACGGAAGTTCATGACTTCGAACAATGGAAGTGACCACATTATTTGTAGGATTACCAAGACGTTGATGCCATTGCGACGACGAAACTCGAACACCGGAGGAGGCATGGCGAGACGATGAAGATGATGCACGAGCGAAGGGGACCGGATAGACCCCCCCATAACATCTACCGTGAAGGATGACGCGCCTGGTTGCTTTGACCTTAACAAGGAAAAAACGATGGTGAAATTCAACAAACAGGTCATTATCACAAACAAGACGATAAACAGAGAGAAAATGCTGGCTAATTTGTGGAACATGAAGGATGTTACGCAGTTTAAGAGATGAACCGGGTAAACGCGAATGACCAATGTGTGAAATACACAAACCTGCACCATTGGCCACCTGAACCTGATCCTTGCCGTCATAGCGCTCGTGAACCTGGAGGCGCTCAAGATCATTAGTCAAGTGATCCGTAGCCCCGGTATCCAGCACCCAAGGAAAGTCGATGATGTTGGTGCAAGCCGAGTTGGCAGAGCGGGAGTTGTGATCCTGATCATAGCGCTTGCTGCAGTCGTCGGCTTCATGGCCCGAGTTCTTGTAAATTTGGCACCGAGGACTCCAGCGGTTGCGACGCCCACCTCCTCCGCCGTTGTTGCTAGCGTTGCCCCCTCCACCTTGCATGCCATTGCCGGCATAACCAGTGTTGCGGTCACGGTCGTCGGTGTTGCCGCCATTACCGCCCTGGCTGGCCATGTCCATCAGCCAGGTGCCCCCCTCCTTGGGAGGGATAGGGGTCGGAGTAGGGCGCGCATCCGCCCACACCGTACGAACCCGAACGGGTCACGACGTTTGCGTAGGGAGACCACCCCTCCACCGCACTCTGCTGTGCCTACAGCACCTCGAAGGACAGAACCAGTGAGTAAAACCTAGAGTAGGGCATGAGTGCGTTACTCAGGCCCAAGGAGGCGGCGATGGAGTTGTAGGCGGAGCCAAGGCTGGTGAGGATGTGATCGATAAGCTCATCATCGCGGATCGGAGAGCCGGCGGCGGCCATAGTGTCGGCCAGGGCCTTCATCTTGTGCATGTATTCCGCGGCGGACAGATCGTCCTTCCTCAGCGATTGAAGTTGCCGCTGGATGTGGCAGACATTTGCGCGGCTCTGGGCGCCGAACATGGCAGCGAAGACTGTCCACACCGCATGCGCCAATTCGCAGCCAATGAGTTGACATGCAATATCCTCCTCCATGGAGGTGAGAAGAAGCCCCTTGACGCGCTGATCTTGAACCCACCATTGGTGGTACTCCGGGTTGGTGACGGTAGTGGCAGCGTTGTCGGTGCCGACAACGAGTGTTTTGGCATGTGCCGCCTTGGTGCCATCGAGGTGTCTGTGGAGGTTGGCACCGACAAGAACAGTGCTGGTGATGCCCCCCTAGAGCATGAAGTTGTGGCGACCGAGGGAGACGGAGATCGTCGAGATGGCGAGCACGGTGGGGATCGTGGAGACGGGGGAAGA